TGCTGCATCAGGCGGCTGAGCGGGGATTTCGGCTTTTTCGGCAGTCCAGCACCAGCTTTGCTGACCCACGTGCGAAAGCTGTAAGCGGGAGAACACCCACGAGGAAATGACTCGACTGCAGCAGTCCTGAGCCTTGACGGTAGACAATCCACAGCAGCAACAGGCGTTTTTCTTCCCTAAAGCACAAGGAAAGGAAGATTTTCTAAACTTTTCAGTATGAATAGCACAGAGTTTTCAGCAACATCTTCTGTTACAGCATTATAAAAAAAAGCCAAGAGCTCCGAACCGCATTGCACACAATTGACTTTACTGGCACAAATGAAAAATAAAGAACTAATCCCTAGGAATAACCAGGCATTTCTGAGCAACCACAAACTCCTTGACTACATCTGTATTTGAGCATAACTAAGAGCGACTGTTAAAAAACAACCCAAACTCTCACATGGGCCTTTTCCTACTGTATATTAAAATCGACTGCAAAACTCACAGGCGCTTTCTGAACATAAATGAAGCTGGGGAGAAGCTGCAGAGCCAACAGACCGGCAGCTCCTGACAGATAACGTGCAGAGCTGCCCGCACAGCTTGTTAGCAAAACCGAGCAGCTCCTTCTTCAGGCAACGAAAGTGAAAACAATCTGCAAGGCAGTGATTAAGCAAATCAAAAGGTCCCGTGACAGTGTGAGCCATGGCTGCGGTGCTTACACAAGTCATACGCCCATCTTCCCCTCTGTCCTTCAGCAAGACTTATTCAGAAATAACTGATGTATGGCGCTCCATTACTGGCTCCTTACGATATTACAGGCCCTACTCACAGGGGCACTTGAGCAGTTCGGTAAAAAGCTCAGGAAAAAAAAAACAAGGGAAGAAATACTGAAGTGCTACCCTCCCATTCAGCTGATAGATATGTGGTCTTTAATCCTGGAAGCAACACAATCAATTCCTTTCCCCCCTCCTCGCTACTCATAATGCCACACATGCCAACTGACACTGCTCTCCGCTGACTTAGCTTGAGAGAGTAACAAATTCAGCCCAAGCATGCCGAGACTGAACTATGATAACGCTGAAGAGTTTGAGCACTTCAGGCCAGAGCACACCTTACAAGCTTTTCCCTCCCATAGCAATTTAATATCCTATAGATTAGCTCAGTCAGTCACATTTTGGTCATTTAACTGAAATAACAGACAGATGCTCAAGTGAAGAATTCAATGTATATTTATTATTCACAGTTAATTACTATCTACCAAATGCTGCTGCAGAGTTAAAGGATTAAGTACATAGGCCTTTTTTATTTAAACACTGATTTTTTTTTTAATATATATACACACACAAGACATATGTCTGCAAGGCTGCATGATATACACCAATTCCAAAATAAGGAAACAATCAAATGGTCCAGGTGTAGAATGCCATAGATTCCTTTTCCAATCACTTTACAAAGAAGGAAGAAAGTGAGTGACAGCTAGCAAGGAGAGGGGGAGAAAGTAATACTCTACAGGATAGCTCTCTCTTTCATCTGCTGGAAAATTAAAGTGTAAGGCAGAGTCCATCTCAGGAATAAAACATTTGTAACACTTAGTACAAAAAAAGGCACCCTCCAACAAAAGATTGCCTGTGCTCAGGCAGGGCAGGAGGAGATCTCTGCTGCAGTTTTTTTGGATTCGTTGGTGGGGTGAAGGGATCCAGCCAAACGGCCATCAAAAGGAAAAATAATGCAACTGAAGATTGGCACAGCGAGCGGTACAGCTTGATTGCATTCCTTTCCGTCCAATTTAATGTCACATTGCTCAGGTGGAGGAGCAAATGGCCACAATAAATGCCATTATGGTGCAGGGTGGGGATTACAGTCATCACACAGCCTGCTGTGAATGGAGAGCGGGGTGGGGGGAAATCTACTTCAACGGTAACACTGACCTGAGGAGGGAGGAGAAATTGGAGAACAGTGATGCCAACCCCACTTTTCAAGAGCAACACGACTGCAAATATTCCCTATCCAGGCCAAAGAGACAGGTTGATTACATGCATCACATAGAAACATTCACTAACAGCATAAAGTTTTTTCAAGCACTATTTTTTGAGGTTTCTCTGCATTATAAAGTTTTCCATCAAAGGAATGTACATTTTATAGGACATCTCAGGGCTATGATTTCTCAAATTCTCCCCTTGACCCTCCCTCCCCAAAATATTCTTCCTCATTTTCCCTGGTCATAACTCCCCCCTTTCTCTTACTTCTTTTGAGGTTCCTGGTTGCAGCTCCCCACCTCTAAGCAGCCTAAGCTGCCACTTGAATGCCTTGATTTTATTTTCCCTGGAATAAGGGAAGTTGATCAGCAAGACCAATCTTAAGATTAAAGCTCCATCTCTGTTTGTAGATTTTTCTCAAATGTCCATTGATAAAACCATCCTCCTTTACACCCTTCCCCCAAAAGTATTTATTTACACATAGGCAGAAAAAAACCCTCTGAAAAGCTCTGGACTGTCCTTTTAACTTAAAAAATAATAAAAAAAGAAAATAAGGGAAAGGCACTATGGAAAAAATTACAGAATGTGCTCAACCGTACACCTTTAAGAAAAAACAAAAAAGCTGTCAGCACAGCATTAACAGATTTCAGTTGTACATTGGAGTTTCTCAAAGCAGCTCTGTGACTCAAAAGAAAAAAAAACCCACAGAACAGAAAGCCACACAATTCTTCTCCCTTCCCCCACTTGGAAGCTGCTGAGCTTCAGAAGAAAGTGCCAAAGGAGAAGAGACAATAAAAATTAGATTAACACCTCATCTTTCCCAGGCAAGAAGAGCTGAATGTTGAAGGCAAAAGCAGAGACTGATGGTTTTTTTTTTTTTTTTTAAAGGCAGGACTGTGGATTTGGTTCTTCTCTCATGTCCCTTCATGTCAAATGAAGACTGTTTGCAGAGAGAGAAAATACCAGCAGAGTTTCTCCCTTTTCCTTTAACTGCATGGCTAGGACTTTATATGGCATTAAAACTTCATGCACTGATGGACAGAGGAGGAGGGGGAAACAAGAAGAATGAATGAAAGGGGGTAACCCAGGAGCAGCTGAGGAAATTTGTTACTTTCTTTTTTTTTCTCTCTCTTTTTTTAAAGATAAGTTTTGGTGTGTAAGTTGAACTCTTCCCCCACCCCGCCCCTGAAGTTCCGTACTGAGTGAAGGAGGATCACCTCACGGTGAAAGGTGACTCAGGTTTTATCGCCGTGTGATTTTAGGTCACTGGCTGCAGTTAGGCTCTGTATGTGTATTTACTGTTTCTCTGGTTTCTTTAAATAATCTCTAATATTTATCTCTAGATGTTCCGGTTCACTGGGGTCACATAGTTGCGTGGAAACATGCCCGTCTGTCCGTGGCAGGCTCCCTTCCACCAGTTGGGGTCAGAATTGTCAAGGACTTGGATAAAGTCTCCGCGACGGAAGCCCAGCTCTCCTTCCTCCTGGGGATCAAAATCAAACAGGGCCTGAACATATGTTGGTTGCTGAAAGGGGAAAGAAAAAGATACACAAAGTGAGAATCATCCACAGCACTCAAGACACCTGCTCCCTCAGGCAGGAATTTAACTTACACTGGAGTTTAACAATAAACATTCGGGCTGTTTCACTTCCGTGTAAGCCAGCTTCCAACATCTGTAACAAGATGCTAAAATAGGAAAGTATAGTCTATAGCAGATCTTAGAGGAAAGTCAAGTTTCTGCGAAAGAGCCAAAATAAAGATAGCAGATGACTCAGATGTTTTCCTAGTATTTTCCAGTCTTCATGACCTACTGTAAATCTGTACTCTATTGCAATACAATAGTCTTTTTGCTTATTCATTCTGTTTACACCAACTGACAGCATGAATATTGCTTATCTACCTAACACTGTGATACACAAAGTTCCCCCTAAAATCTGGATCTTGGCATTTTACACATTTTCTTTAAAACTCTCCAGTATCAAGAAATTCTGTCACGGAGAATTTGGCCCGGTCACCAAATATTTCCATTCTTATGGAAAAGCTAATGGTTCATTTAAAATACATTTCTATTCTTAGAATCATGAGGCTAGGAAGGTATTTTAATGCTTGTCATATTCAGCCAGCTGTTCTCTCATCCTCTGTTTATCACTGACCCAACAGTGCAGAGCCAGATGTTAATTCAGACAAACTATGGCAAAGGGTGCCCACAGCACCTGGAGGGCAGCATGAATTCCACCCCCTCCCTTGTCTTCAAGCTAGAACTAGAATGCTGCACTTAGAAGCAAAAGGGTTTATCCAAATTGACAAAAGACCCAGTTACATGCAACATAACATTCCGATTGCCCAGGGAAATGGAACAAAACAAAGAGCTAGATATACACAAGCTGCTCTGCTGGCACTTAGCAGTAGTTTTTGGTTTCTCTTAACACTGGCTAGACCAAACCAGAAGACTAGAGATGTTCCATATGCTACTACCTGTAACCACCTCTTCAGGAAAGACCAGCACCAAAGCATCACTGGCTACTGAGAGGTACAGTTCTGGCTATGAACCAGTATAAATAGAACTATCGTTTCTTACTATGTACTAAAAGCAGGACTAAGCCCATTTTTAATTCACAGGAATGAGATGACACTCCTGAAACAGTATCTATAAACATTAAGACAAGCCAAGTGTTCAAGCAGCAACAGTAACACTTTGCCAGAACTCAAGGGGAGACTAGGGAGTCAGCATGTAGGCTTTGCACAAACATCCAGCTTATTTACCAGTACAATTCAAGCTGCAGGATCTAAAGATACACTTCCATAGACAAGAAAAATGTCAGTCAGCTTCTTTCCATCCCTATTCATTTACTCTAAGATGCAGTCCCACTTCAACCATGGTTGCAACAGTCTAAATAGCATACTCTGCAAGGACATTTCTCTTACCTGAGGCACCTGTTCAATGTCCCGGAGAAATATTTGCTGGTTCCTGGAGACAGATGTGGATCTGTGATAATCTACCAGCTCGTTCAAAGAATTGAACTTCACCACCCAGAGGAAATATTTGCCAGCCCCATCTCTAAGCACCTTGAAGTGCTGCACATCATTTCCAAACCTGTGCAGAAAGAACGAAGAACACCAAAAAAAAGCACATTATTACTGAGTAGTCCTCTTTTGGGATCATCAGCACAGAATTTGCAACAAAAAGGTCCTTCAGCGCACAGTGAAAACTGTCAATGACACTGATAATATAGATACTAATTGGTTGCTGTAAAAAGAGGTCCCAAAACCACTTGCCAATTGTATTTTACAGAAATCAGAGAGATAGAATCCAAATACTGAATTTATTTTGAAGAAAAATCCTGCAAGCTTCACATATGGTTTTAAAATCAGCTTTTCAAACCACTCTGAATTTGCAGAAGTTTCAGGTCTTTTCATAAAGGATTTCTGATGTCACAACACTATCTTGGACAACATGCAACATTTCAGCTTTTTATTTTACACTATGTTGCCACATAGCTGGCGTTCAGTACATGTTACTTCTTGATGGATGTATGGAGTCACTGAAGACAATGCACAGAATACCTAGGACACAGACCATGGACTTTGCCATACAAATACAAGGTCACATTAAAGCAGATGCACCATGATGCCTTCCACTTTGCGTTCCTAAATACAAGATTTTGAAGTCAAACAGTACGAGTGCTTTGGTTTAGCTCTTCACACACAGCAATTTCACAACTGACTTCATTCAGTTTAAGTTTGTGCTGCTCTTGCTATGGTCCTGCACTTCTCACCATCTCAGTCCCTCCCTCACCCAGCACCACTAGGTATGTGTAATAATGCAATACATAAGCACCAGTTCCATTACAAGTAAATTGCAGGGAAATACTGCCACAGGGAGGGCAGGATTGTCTCTTTTGGTAGCCAGTCTGGACTTAAGCAAAAGACTTGTTTTGCAAAACAAAAGGATCTTTCTGGTCCTTTTAAAAAAAGAACACAACACATACCCCCCCCACAACCAACCCCCCCCCAACCCCAAAATGCTTGAAAAACGATGCTGCACATGTAACCCAACAACTTCAATTCTGTGTTAACAATGCTTTCTGACAAATGATGGCATTCAGCTGAAGTCACTTTTCCAACAATTTTATTTTGAATAAAGAAGAACTCCGAAGAGGTCCATTGGGATTTTCCAGATGAATGGCACATCAGTATTTTTAGTCTAAAACACTGAAAACAGAAGACAACTGTTCCCTACTTGGCGCACACAGCCTCTATACATTGGCTGAAAAAGTAGACACTATCTTGGCCTCAAAGGTAACGTGAACTCATGAGTACTGCCTCTGCTCTCCCTTCCTCAACCTGAGAGCTTCTCATCATTTCAAATCCTGCAGATCACTGTTTAAGAAAAAGACTTTTCTAAATTAAACACCAAAAAAAATCAACTGAGATTACCAACAGATAGCAACACTAAACTAACAGGCAGGCAGAGCTATGCTATCACAACTTTATGTTTCTTAAAGGAATGCACTTTCCTGGAATGAAGCTTCCATTCCTATCTAGTATTCCAGCTCAGGTGACTGTAACCAAGACAGAAATATAAACATCCCTAAAATCAGTGGTTTTAATCCAGTTTGTTGGCATGACTCAGTGTGCTGCTGTACAGGACAAAAATTTGGTTACAGACCAAAGATGACCAGAAACAAAAAAAAATTCTGTTGAGACAGATCACTGACAGCCACAGAAAATACAGCAAACTAGGAATTCTGCATGAATAACCAAAACCTGCTAGGATTGTAAAGAAAATCTTGTTCATTTCTGGTACAAAAGGGGAAGATCACAGAAAATAAAAAAAGGCAAAATCAACTGCCAAGGATAGAATCCCTCCCACCCCCAACCCATGTTAAATTACATCATATACCTTTTCAAGTTTCTATTTCACAGTGACTTCAGATGGGCAAGATAGGTAGCATGGTATTACGTGGGCCATGGCTAACTAGCAGGAGCTCCTGCTGGCTAACAGCCAGTACTTCTAGTAAGGTTATTCAAGGATGCTCCTCCTCACTTCACTGTTACTAGACTGAGTTTCTCTACCAACATGGAATACACTTGTGACAGATCAAAGAGGCCTCTGTTTTCACAGCTCCAGGTCCCAGTGCTAGACAACATGAATATCCCCAAAGCATGTGCCAAGCAGACATGAAAAACATACCTGAAAGTGCACTACACAGACAGAAGACAAAGCAGTAACTTGTACTGCAGAAGAGGAAAGAAGGGGGATGGGAGAAACATGTACACACTGGGCACTTTGTGGCTGTAAGGAGGAGGAATGGGATCCACAAACAAACCAACATATAGTGCCTGGGACTACAGGGGCTAGACAACAACTTGCCACCAGGTCAGCCCTGTAGGCTCATTATAAACCAGAACGTATATATTTGTTCTGTTAGAGAGGGAATAAGTATGTATCACTGGAAGAACAGGAACACTACATGGCATCTGGCAGATTATTCCTGCTCCTCAGCATTGACAATCACCTGCCCTTTACTCACAGTCCAAATGAGCAGTAAATAGTCTGATTACCACACATGATTGCTTCTGGGCATTACTTACTTGACTGAGAGGGAGAAGTCCCCAGGAGCACTCTCACTCTCCCTGATGAGGAAGGCACCATCGTGTCTCTGTTTGCCTAACATCTCTTCAGCCTTTGCTCGGGGAATCTTTCCAAAAAACCACCTGTGCAGTGAGGAAAAGAAAACAACAGGGAAAGTTAAGAATTTTAATCCGTTCAGGGGACAGCCAGACATAGATATTCACAGAGAGATGAAATGATTTCTGACAGACATAACTAGACTCCACCTCGCTGCCCCTCCAGTACACACTACTGAACCATGCAGCTTTTCACAATGTTTCATCCTGGCAATGAAGCAACAGTGACTTAATAAGCAGGTGCTTGCAGTAGCCCTATTTCATCCAATTCAGCAAAGCAGAGATGTGGTTAAGAGTGAAATCCTCAAATTACAGGATTTATTTTCAGAGTGGAAAAAACCTGTTCAAAATTCAACACATTATTCACATTGTTCTGCACCCTATTGTATCTGCAATTTGGCATATAAAACATCAATACAAGAACCTAACATAGACAAATTGCTTTACAGCAAAGTCCTGCTTTGTGAGGTTAAGACAACTGCCCTGGGAACTGGTTACAACCTTGGACAAAGTTCAAATGTCTACTGTGGTCTGCACTGATATCTTAGTAATGAGGCCTCATAACCTAAAGTCAAACAGATTAAATGACTAGCTCAAGCAAGAAACTCAAGTCTCTTCCTCTGTCACTAAGGAATAAAGTCTCACGTCTCTACATGCAAATTTTAATTTGGACAATTTTAATTGTCCAAACTGTATTATGCCATCAAGTCAGAGACAACAAATTCGTCCTGCACTGGTGGCTGGTCACTATTGAAATTCCCTATGATACAGCAGCATTTATTTCACTATTAGTACCCAAAGATAATCAGTGGTGAGTAATTACAGAGTCTTCTTTATTACTTATGCCTCCTAATGAGAAGCCACCCATGCTTTAGCCATGATTTGCAGAGTAGACAATACAGAAAGTGTAAGTTATTAAGGATTAAGCACAGAAATATCACTATTTTAGTGGGTAGAAATCTTTCCAAAAAAAAGGCAATATTTGCAAAATGCAAGGGAAACACTGGGAGTTCACTCACAAGTTTCTCTGCTGAAACATCACAGCTGTAGAAACAAGATCCTACCTATGGATTGACTATCATGCACAAATGGAAAGTGCCTTTTGTATCAAACCCAATTTCCAGTCTCTTTGAGATCAGGCGGTAGGACACAACTACTTCAGCAAAGAGAATGAGAAGCTTCATTCAGCAGCTGGTTGTTCCTGCAGCCCAGAGTCCAATCTTTCTGACCTCTACCACAGCACTGTGGTTAAAGACAGGTATCTCATGTCAGAAAGCTAAAGCAGGTGCCAGGAATGGAGTTACATGCAAACTAAGTGAGAAAAGGTCCCTCAAGGTCTCTTTGCTTCATTGCAGAAGAGCGCTGAGCTGGGCGTGCGATTCGGTTCTAGGAAAGACACTGATAATACTTGTTTCAGTAGCCTATTTTCTTGCTTTCTCCTACAGTCAGGACAATCTAGCAGCTTTCACATAGGCAGTCACATGAAATAGCTGCACCATGGAAGCCACATCTGAAACTCTTGACAGCTGTGCAGAAGTCAAAACCACAGGCTGACCATCTCCATGACACCAAGGTTAAACCTATCTCAGGCAACCAGATCGTCAGCACTGACCAACAGCCCCCGGTCACGGGATTCTTACCCACATTTACACTTGAGTTTCCAGACTAAGCCAAGATTAAAGGCAAACACGGGCCGAGTGGTAGGTCACATGGTGTGGGAAAAGCAGAACCATCTTCACAGCCAAAAAAGACCGCTTTCAGTTCTGAGTAGCAGATCACACAGGACAGAAGTACTTACCACAGCCTATAACCATGTAGATGATTGACCTTAGAGGAGAGCATTTAATAACAAGAGTTCCACTCACAAGTTTACTTTCTACAGTGAAGGCTTTGGTGCAGCAAAATGACAAAAGTTGCAGAATCCTCCCTGAAACCATCGTTCTTAAGAGAAGTCAAAGTTTTCACAAAGTCATAAAATCACCAGATCTTCCTCTCTAAGAGGAAGCTATCTCTAGAGGTGAAGGAGGACCAATTACTTGATTACCATACTCTCCAGCTACTGGCAGCCCTCACGCTTCTCACTGGCTGTCTTCAGTATCTGCTCACCATAGGAGGCTATACAAAAACGCATCCCTATGTTATATCAAGGCTGATGAGTCCACAGATGTATTTCTACTATACGCAACATATTCAATAAAACAACTCTAGGATGTCCTCCTTGTAAAAGGAGTATTCACTCCATTTAGCTATGTAGCTCCATTATGAAAAGTGTTTTGGTACTGAAAATGGTATGTCTTGTTTATAAACTCGGTTTCCATGATCACCTAGAGATATTTTACTTGTTTGTAAGTCTTGTGTGTACTTTTTATCCCCTGGGATGCAAAGGAGAAGCCTTCTCCCACAACCACCCTATTTCCAGTGATAAAGAACTTCATAGCATTTAGTACGTTCCTGGTGGTTTAGCACCTGTGCCACTTCTCAGTACTGGAGGCGGTGGCAGAGACAGCAGAGGAAGCATCCACCTGTTTCTTACTGTACTCTGCTGCCTTCAAAAATCAACGAAGAGAAACCATTATGTGAAACTGCTCTGGAATTCAAAGGTGGTATTTTGTTTCCTGGGTTTTTGGCACAATTGTCAGAAAGACAAGGAAGTCTTGAATTTTGCCTCTGCTAAACGTTACGTAAAGCAAGCTTTCATATTATGATTTTAGGTATCTTGCCATAGTTCTTGTTTACAAAGTGTTTTAATTCTGTTTAGTTCTCAAATAATTCTCAATTACTCACATGTGACTTGGAAATGAAAGCCTCATCTTAAAAAAAACCCAAAACACCTCATTCATCTCTAAAATAGAAGGAAAGCCTGAAAGAGCTCAACAAAACATCTATAATCCTTCCTGAAGCCTCAGAAGTATACCTTATGTTTGAAGTGTACAATTCAACTAAAGGAAGTAATACTTCCAAAGTAACAATATCAAATTCTTAAAGTTTTCTGCCAGTTGTTTCTAAGGCCCTTTAAAGAGACTAAAAATATTTCACAATTCTTGAACTCCCTTGCAGTTTTATATGACTTCGCTACCACTTTAGCCAGAGTAAAAGGAGCCTGAATTCTAAATATAAAAAAGAAAAGAAAACCCCACAGATGAAGGAAAGAAAGTTATTTTGAAGGACTACTGTCTACTTAAGAACACACTTGTAAAGCATTGGAGGCGTTGTGCACATACGATCTTTGCTACAGAATGACTGAAAAAATTAACAAAAATCACAGCATATCAAAAATCCCACATGGAGAATTAGGCCAAAGAAACAGACCACAACATTCCCACAGCTTCCCTGCTGAAGGGCTAAGCTTGGTAACACTTGTCTCCAACTAGCTTTGTAATGTAGGTGAAGCTCATCCAGTCAGCCCTGCAAAACCTAATCCAGGCATTACTGCTAATGCTGCACAGCCAGAGGGAGAGGCACTGATTGGTACAAGGCAAAGTTCACACGACTTTCAGACTCCTTTCAATCAGCAGTTTGGCAATTCTTTTTCAGCACAACCATTCAGCTTCCCCGATTTCCTCTGCCTAAGTTACAACATTGCAAAGTGAGACTTCAGCAACATCTTCAAGAAAAGCTGATTACAAACACAAATACTTGAGATACACACACCCTGAGGCTGACCCAGGCTGTTTCATAAACAGCAAATTCTTCCCCTGCCTCCTTAAAGAGAGAAAGGTAGTCCTGCCACTGAACTGCACTGTTGTGCCTTCACAGGAAGCCTCCCTGCCCAGAGTTTCCTGCAGCTCTTCTGAGTATCATGCCTATGTCCACTCACATTTTTGCTTTGTTAATTGATGTGTCAATTCAGATTAACCCTTCAGAACCCAGGTGACTCAGATGGTGACTGAGAGGCAGCACATTTTCCTTTCAGCTTAATTTGCTAGTAATTACAAAGCAAACTGTAAGATTTGCAAGCTACAAGCAAGAAACAAACACTGCATTTAAGACCAGCTGTGGGGCTGGAGGATTTAACTCTCAGATCCTAGGACAGGATTTTAAAGCCATTTTCAGTTGCCTTCTTTCCAAATCCTCTTGCAAAGCTTTTGTGTCACCTTCCCAGAACACAATTTGATACTAGTCTGACAAAAGGAACATTCTCTTTCTCACTCCTTGTCAGCTGCCTGCAATTTGCTTTTTGTATGACCTGTATGACTACTTAGGGAGCTCCACACTACAGCTAAGCAAACATTATGCTATGAAAACTTTTGCATAATTTCCCAGGGTTGTTAATGCACTAGTTAAGACTCCCAGCATTGCTGACACATAGAGCTAACTCCATCCAGCTGCCATCAGCAGTTTAAACATCTTCAGAAAAGGTCAAATTAACTATGCTTAAAACTCACTACCAAATTCATATACTTGCAGGCTCAGATATTGTTCATTCCCTTTTGATATCAAAAAGCGAAAACCTGACAGCTCTATCCCTCTAAAACAAATACCATGGATGATTACAGAACAAACTGATCATCATCACAGGAGACATCACTGCAGCATAACTCAAATGCCTGCAAAACTGCTATGAAATGATATATGATGATTCAAATCAACGAGAGAGAGAAATTGCAATGTATATTTGTGACCCCCAGTGGACTGGCACGATCAGGGTCAAGAAGACATGTTACTGCAGCAGACAAGGTTTTAAACAATTTCAGAATTTTCTTGTACATCCTTGCTTCATTTCCCACTTGGCTGCACTAAAGCAGTATACCTCCTCTCCTCCTTGGGGCACAGTCCCTCAGAAGCATCCTTCTGCAATTTCAAAAGAACCCTTACAAAAATAATTCTTGATTGGATTTAACTGCAATATCTTAATGATATTATTACAGCCAACAACAAATCAATCATCAGTTTTTGTGGGCAAAACTGATGCATTCATGTCATCCTCTTTGCTCTTTCCTAAACCTTTTCCCTCCTTTGAATCTGCTACCCAGAGCTCGCTGTTTTCTTATAGAATCATATAATCATAGAATTAAGTTGGAAAGGATCTTTAAGATCATTGAGTCCAACTGTAAACCTGTTCAGATGCTGAAGTATCTAAAAGGTTAGCAGAACCAGAGTTTAGCAAGAGACAGCAGAAATACATGAACTGACACAAAGAAAATACCTAGTCATGAAATGCTACTATTTTCATATGCTAGATTGTTTATATCTAAGAGGAAATGTTTAAATTAGTTACTTATATTTCTCTAGAGCTGCAAACCAACACAACTACACTTGCACAACAGAACACACTCTGAGGTTGGCCTGTTTTGCAAGGAAGGTGTTGGACCAGATGACTGTTAGAGGTCCTGACTGCCCTAAACAGTTATGTGATTCTGTACGTAGGATGCGAGATAGACACACTAAGAGTTCAGCTCCAAATATCCTTAAACATTTTTCTGGTGAGCTGTGAATGCCACAATTTTTACTCTTATCTGCTACGCTAAGTAAAATAGAGAATCATGAGAAGAACACAGTCACTTTTTTTCCTGGGGCAGCTGTGATGACAACTCTCTACTAAAGAGTTTTCTGCTGGTTTATGCCTGTTACCTCCACGATCAGTCTGTCTGACCCTACAGCAAAATACCAGAGCAACCACCAGACAAGCTTCCAAAAATACTCTGCTACACAGCTAGCTATGAAACAAGTTACAGTAAATGCTACAGCCAGAGATACAACCCAGTAGCCATCCTTTATCTAGTCGTATCTTTTGGTAGATCTCGTAAGGTACACTTTGCAAAGTATTCAGCAGAAAACCTTCCTTCTGTTTGAGAGGATGCACAAAAGCAAGATCAAGGGAGCCTATCACCAAAGCTCTACTTACGGATGCGGTTTCATTTCTATGTAGTTCTTGGGAATGAAGCCATCTTTTCCATTGAGTTCTGCCTTGTACCAATTCTGATCGCATTCTTCATTCAAAACCTGAAGGAAGCAAACAAAAAATAAGCTTACCACATTTCAAGATAGAGCAAAACTGATGAAGGTACTAGCTTATTGTTCCCATTCTTGTTTCAAAGACTGCTCTGGTAAGACGAACCTATAAAAAAATGGTTATAGTCATCCTGCCCCACTGTATCTCATGAGCATTCAGAACTGTGGTGAACAAAAAGCTGGATGACTAATTTAGAACAGCCAAAGGATTTTAGTGCCCAAACCCCATGCTTTAGTAAGAAAGTTGCTCTAAGTCCATAGGTACTTTTAACAATGTAACTAGACTGGGATCTGTGCCAAAGATTAGGTTGGCTGTCGTCACCAAAACATTCTGTCCAAAATCTGAAAGCCAAGAAATTCTGATTCTTTATCACTTTTAATGATCAGCTGACAAACCCAATGCTTTCAGTGTAACTGTGATTTCATCCAGCTTTTCTGCATTTGCACTGGTTGCACACCAGATATGTTAAAGATTCCAGGCAACATCTATATTATAGAGAATTTTACAAATAAAACTCCCTCATGACAATATTAGCACAGGTCCAGCTGCAGATACAACAGGCAGCTTCAGCTGGTTTTGCCAATACAAGTTAAAATCTGGTTAAATCAGATGGCAGAAACAATGACTTGCCTGTTGAGCATTTTTTATGTTAATAAAGCAAGGTAAACACATACAAACAGCAAATGTAGATGAACAAAGTTCTTTTTTTTTAGAAGGATACTTTTCTTACTATAACTTTATTCTAAAATGAATGAAAGATCAGGAGTCACAGGAGAGGAGCCACGTGAATAGGAAGCTTTAAAAAGCACAAATTGATACTTCAAAGCATACTTGCTCTAAAAACTTTGGTGCTTTATTTTTCATTGAATTTCTGTCAATTGGTACAGTGCAACAGGCAAGACAGTACACTGACTGAAAGCAGTTTCTCAAATAAAGTAGTATTACGTTCTGTAAATAACGCCATGCAATAGTTTGAAGCTACCTCTCCTCAAAAAAGTTTTATGTGGTGTTGGAAGTAAATAGTCCACAGAACCTGCCCCCCTTTAAAATTAAGCACCACGCCACCACTTTTCCTCAAGGACTTTTATCTTTCTCAGCTTTCCGAGAATTACTTTGCGACAATGGCCAACAAAACACTGGATTTGAGTTTAAAAAAATAAGAAGAATATATTTCTAAGGCCTCAAGTCACAAAAGTATCACATGATTAGCATTGCCTGAATACAGGAAGATGAGGAAATGCAAAGAGAAAGATGACATGAACACAGATCCAGAGATCACATACTACACACACATGTAATTATAGTGAAGATATCCACCAAACCCCCAAAATCTTCATAAGCAATTATTGCTATTTCCAACTTCTTTTTTTTGCTATCTCACTATATTTCTTTTTTGGAAAGGCGATGAGAGGAAATAAATTAAAACAAGAAGCAGACGAGAATTTGCAACTACAGACCTTAAAATTCTTACAGCTGATAAGAGTGCTTCAGAAAATTAAATTCTTTAGGATCAATGTTTGCTGCCTTTCAAAATTATGTTATGTATCAACACCCTTATCTGCCTCATTGCTGACTGGTACATACAAATGAGAAAAACCTCAACATCTACTGAAATGAAATCCAGGAAAGTAAAAAGAGACCAGAATCTGAATCTCCTCAGTGAGTTACAGTGGGTAACAGTTACCTGGCTGTTCCTTAACTCCCAACCGAAGAGGTCGATGGTAGGCTGTATATCCCCCAGGTGCCAGCACCTCCATTGGGGAACTAGCATAGTAGCAGGGCCATATCTACAGAACTTCAGGTGAGCAAAGATATGCACTGCTACAGCCCATTTCAGGATATTTTTGGTTGAAGAGACTTTAATACTTAAAAGATCCTACATACTTTTATATGGATAAAAATATTCAAGCTATCTTTTGTGTAGTTACTACTGTGTGCTTCCATTTATTTATTTACATGCATTGTTTTAGCGTGCATTACAGATCAGTCATTTAGCAAGGATAACCTGACCACAGTTCATGAGCAGTTCAAGTGTGGCTCTGCTACAGGCTCTGAGGTAAAAGCTTACACACGGAGAGTTGATGCAGATCAGCTGATGTCTGCCAAATTGCCTTTCAGCAAGAAAACAGCGCAGGTCTCTCAACCACTGCAGTGACTGCGAGACAGTGTTCTGTGCAGAAACTCATACAACTCCAGAATATGAAATACAAGCAGATGACACCAGCAGGCAGCTCCAGGATATCGAGCAGGGAAGATGGAGATTAAAAACAGGTATGTAAAAAAGTGAATTACATAGAGACTAGGGACACTGAGGGCACAGGTTGAAGCCCAGATCTACAGTTCAGTCATGCAAAGATTTTGGCACATAGTTTGAATGATCAGGAAGTTTGATTGTTATACACCTCAGCCACCATCACTAGAGTCATTTACAATACAATAGAATACAAACATGACACATTTTGATGTGATTTCTAATAAGCCAAATCTTATGCAATAGTGTGCATTCCCTTATCACAAGACACCACAGATCAAACCTTTGATAAGATTGTGTACTACAAACTTATTTCATTACTATCAGAGAGCAGTTAAAGGATATGGCAGTCTGGTTTTTTTCCAAGAATAAGAAAAAAGGGTAAATTGTAGCTTCATATGAAGGACATTACCACGTATTTGTGCTTTTGGCAGTAGGTACTAAAAATTACCAGAAATTCTAATACCTAAATGTAAATTATTTTAATGAGTTTTTATCTTGCTCTGAAGATATGCATTAATCTATTAAGATTCGGAGGAGCCAAATCACACAGGGCTTGGGGTACTCATCAATGCTTGGCCTGAAGCCAAATACCAGTGAGGGAGCATCGCTGAGCCATGCATTAAGCTTTGTGACGAGAAAAAGAATAGTTGGATAAAAGGCATAGTAAGGTGAACTGCCTACACATATGCGTGCAAAACCTGTACAGGGGACTTGTTTTAATAATGAATCCTCCACATCTCTCCCCCTTCAGTGGCTTTGTTTGCTCCAAGGACTTTTTCCTGCTTCACACCCAGACTGACATATCTTCATAGCCAGTTGTTGTTTCTAGGATCATTTTAACTAGCTGTCACAGCTCCATTCTCACCCTGGCAGACAGCCAAACTATCCATGCCCTATATTCTATACCCGAGAGCTTACACATATACAGTCACCCTGTAAACACCCCTGTTGCCCCTTTCCAGGTCCTTTCAGTGTGCACTCTTCCAGATGCAACAGAACATACTGTTTTCTTTAGAAAGCTGCATGTTCACCTATCATTTCAAGAGGAGTCACCTCCACAACACAGATATCTACAAAATCGTTTTATCTGACGGTGTGTCAAACAGACACCGCTGGAGCTGCTCCCAACGCTTAGTCAAGCAAAAATTACTTGTACTGAAGGACCTTAAATTCAGGGCAACTTTGCAGTCATGTGCACAAGGTTGGAATTCTGGTGGATGCTATAAAGTTACATAGCTATTACTATGACAACTGCAGAATAGTAATGTAAAATTTCAGCTTTCAAAAAAACTTATGCCACTAACATCCACTAGCAAAATACAACTAAAAAGTAAGTTGGGAATACACGTAAGAACTCTCTGCACTGCTGTATCCGGCTTAGATGTTTGCATCTGACATGACTCTCCTTTTAAATTGTAAAGTCACCACAATGAAAGAACTGACTTTAACTAATTAAACCATTTTGCTGCAAAACATTTTAAGAAAAGTATCCAGTAAATCCATCTGTCCCATACCTCCAACCGGCCTCCAAGTGATTTCCAGATAATAACCAAGATTAAAATTTATCATCTGGATACTTAAAACAGTGTTATGCCTCCAAGAGAAATAAAGATTCTTAACTGAACTATGGTAAGATTTTCCCAGATTTAACAAAGCTACAAAATTTAGTCTAGGTACTGCATGTATCACTGGATTTTGCTTTGAAAATTTCCCAAAGTACAAATAAACACAGATAAATTAAGCAACAAAATGAAACTTAGACTCACTGCTTCAAACTGGGACAGCCTCCAGGGTCTGCAAAAAAAAAGTCTAAAAGGCACAAACACTTATTTATCTCAACAACTGTTTAAAAACCGCTGCTCTTTGTATAGGTCAAAACATAAAGCATTCCTTTGCGGCCAATCCCCTCGTCTGCTATAGATCTAATCAAGTCTATGCCACAGTGACTCTTCCTTTCACACTGGGGCATCTGTGCCTGAGAGGAGGAAGAAGGAAGGATATTTTTAGCCGCTACATTTGAACACATACTGCCATGTGATGTCCTCAGTCTGTAGTCAGCCCTGTTTTACAGTAATAGTGGCTCAACTGCTGCTCCTCAGTTTCCTAGTTTGAGAATAGATCTCTTATCAACAAAAGCCCATCTGTTCCCATGGAAATAGAGAAGAAGCACTGCTGAAGAGCCGCACAAGGCAGTTCCCAAGTTCTACCTAGAACAGTTCACACACAGCATCCCCAGCCATTTTCAATTTCATACCTGGCAAGTATTTCTAAGCACAGCTTTTCCACCCTTGTGAATTGTTCCGTACCAGTCTTGATCCTCTCAAAATTAAACAACTTTCAGGAACATGCAGGCACTAAACTGGAATGTAACAAGCAGATCTGGCATCCCAACTCTCAAGCTGACTCCCATATGCAAACATGAAACTAAACATAATGCCTCAAACATACATATGTACTTGTGAATTTAGCCAAATTCATCAGAATGCTTACATCTTGGAAAGACTAAACTCAAATTTGTTCAGAGAGGGCTCTGAGTTTTGGCTGAACCTCCTCTTTTTCCCTGAACTGCTAGGTTTTGGGATTCTTGCTGTGCTAACTGAAACAGAAGGTAACAGAACTGCTCAAGTACAACCTGTTAGCTGCCAACCCTGTTTTTCTCCTCAACAAAGTTGCACTGCCACAAAGAAAACCATGTAGTATATTAAAAACATTCCCAAAGTCTAAGGAATCCAAGGA